TGAAGGTGCGAGGGCAGTGTGGGCAGTGGAGGCGAGTGCGGTGGGTGTAGGTTGGTGCTCCAGGCACTGGTTCGCCAGTCTCTGTGCGATGGATTCGCAAGTGACCGACCAGGCCGATGCGTGAAGTGAAGGTGCGATCGCAGTGAGGGCAGATGTAGTCCTGGCCCTCACGTCTGATGATGGAGGTTGCAGGGATTGTGCCTGTCGTTGTGTCAGGTTCGGCTGTGGTGAAGTCGTGGGCGACAGACGCCGAAGCGGCCGTCGCTGTGGCAGTGATGGAGGAAGAGGAAGAGGGAGGAGAGGAGTGAGGGGTGGTAAGGTCGGTGGCGTCGATGTCGGCTGGGGAGTAGTTAGTGGGTGCACAAGGAGGTGGATTTGGAGTGGGGCTCGGCGGGGTGGATGTGTCAAGGCTGCGGTCAATTCCGCTCTCGTGGATGCGCATGTGGCCGAATAGACCCATGCGATGAGTGAAGGTGCGAGGGCATTGTGGGCAGTGGAGGCGAGTGCGGTGGGTGTAGGTTGGTGCTCCAGGCACTGGTTCGCCAGTCTCTGTGCGATGGATTCGCAAGTGACCGACCAGGCCGATGCGAGAGGTGAAGGTGCGGTCACAGTGAGGGCACGTGTAGACCTGATCCTCATCACTGGGATCGGGAGAGGTGGGAGAGGTGATGTTGGTTGGTGTGTTGGTGTTGGTGATGTGTGAGACAGCAGTCTGGACGGCCGCCGCTGGGGCAGTGGAGAGGGTGGAGGACGACGAGGATGGAATTGGTGGTGCAGAAGGAGTGTCAGAGTTAGTTGGCGACACAGAGGACGAGGAAACGGCGGGCGGGGGGACGATGGCTGGAGCAGTTCGAGAGGTGCAGTTGATCCGAAGATGTCCAACAAGTCCGATTCGTGCCCGGAATGTCCGGTGGCATCGAGGACACGTAGGGAGAGGTTGTGCGGCGGCGTTGCGGACTGGGCGAACTTGTGATTTGCGGGCTTCGCGTTTCGCTTTGGCGGCGGCGATTCGGTTGGCTTCATAGATAGCAGCGCCCGTCTTCACTGTTCTTCTCCATGTCGGACGATCGCGAGCGAGCTCTTCCCAGTTGGTCGGGTTGATTTGCAGGCGCTTCAGGGAGGACTTCAGAGTATCCTTGTAACGGCGAATTTGGCCTCCTTGACGACGAGAACCCGTCGCGACGTCTCCGTAGAAGAGTCGTTTGGGTAGTCGCTCGTCGTCCATGCGCACCAGGTGGCCGCTCCAGCGCAGCTGCATTTGTTTCAGTATGGCGTAAATGCTGAGGATTCCGGTTCGTTCCAGTACTTCCGTGTCGGGGATGCGGTCCTGCCAGTTCAGCCTCAGGATGCGACGCAGACAACTGAGGTGGAAGTGGTTCAGTCGGCGTGCCTGTCTCGTGTACACCGTCCATGTCTCTGCTCCGTACAGTAACG